AATGTAGATTGGTGCAGCTATTACAGAAAACAGCATGAATGTACCTCAAAAAATTACAAATAGAACTACCATAGGTTCAGCAATTCCACTTTTGGGTATGTATCCACAGGGGGGAAAAAAATAAATATCTTGAAGAGATAGTTGCACTCCCATATTTATTGCAGCATTATTCACAATAGCAAAGATGCAGAAACAACCTAAGTGACTGTTGACAGATGAATGGATAAAAAATATGTGGGAGATACACACATGCAATGGAATGTTATTCAACCTTAAAAAAGAAGGAAATCCTGCCATTTGCAACAACTTGGATGAACCTGAAGGACATTATGCTCAGTGAAATATCTCAGACACAGAAATACAAATGCCTCATGATATCACTTATATGTAAAATCTTAAAAGGTTGAACTCGTAGAAATAGAGAGTAGAATCGTGGTTGCCAGGGTTTAGGGAGGGAGTGGGGGAAAAGAGAAGATATTGACCATAGGATATAAACCTTAGTTATTAATATAAGATGAATAAATACTGGAGAATGTACAGCAGGGTGACTACAGCTAATGGTAATGTATTATACACTTGAAATTTGCTGAGTGTAGATCTCAACTGAGCTCACCACACACACACACACACACACACACACAAAGAAAGGTAACAATGTGATGTGATGCATATGTTAAATAGCTTGATCATGGTAGTTATTTAATAATTTATACATATATTAAAACATCACATCATATATCCTAAATATATACAATTTTTATTTGTCAATCATACCTCCATAAAGCCGGAAAAAAATCCTGCAAATTGGTGGACACCACACTTGCATCCATCACTCGTGTGTGTGTGTCTGTGTGTGTGTGGTCTTTGACAAGTTACTTGAACTTTTTCTCAGACCCTCACCGGTAAAATGGGAATTAAATATTGTACCTGTGCAATGTGATTGTTACCTAAACTGATGCCAACAAAATATTAGAGCCTCTGGCACAAGGCAACCACTCAGCCATGTTAGAGAATGACAGAGGAGGGAGCGGCAGACTCTCAACAAAACCCAGTTACCACTTGGCAGATTTTTTTACTTTGAAGCAATTGTTTGGTCTTCAAGCAGCCTCAGCTGGGCTCTCTCTTTGTCAGAAAGCTGCGCTAGTGAATAACAGCACTCATGCTTCTGAGCCAAAGGTATTCTAAAGCCTGCTCCTTCTTAAAGTGAATGAAAATGTTTATTTCCCATATGAATGGAAAAGTGTTATATGCCTTGTGTGGGAAATTCAGAAAGCACAGAAAAGTATGAAGTCACCCATAATCCTGCCAAAGTAACCAGTATTAACAATTAACCATTAAACCATTGTTTGCCAAATTACCTATAGTTTTTCTGTAAAGTTTTTAAACAAAATTAGGACCACAATATCCTTGCATTTGTCTGTCCTCCCTTTTTTCACTTACCATTTAATTGCATGTATTTTCCCCATCTTTAAACATTCTTTATAATCACCACTTTTACTGCTGAGCAACAATCCATCTTATGCGTAGATGTTCTACTTAGCTCTTCCCTTACAGTGTCAGGCTATTTTTCAGTGTAATAAATACTAAATGAATATATTTGCACATATATCTGCAATTGTATCATTTCTCTAGAATCAATTTTTGGAGAAGGAATTGCACTCCCAAAAGGTATGAGCAATTTCAAACTGACTGGTATATATTGCCAAGTAGCTTTCCAGATAGGTTGTTCCAATTCAAATTCCACTAGAAGAGTGTTGGTCAGTACGTCTGTTTCATCCCCTCAGCCCCTACTCTCCCAGAGTTTTTTTAAAAAAAATACCTAAACTAATACGCAAGGTAGGGACTGGTTGTTCTTTAAAGGTAAATTTCTCAAGTTCATTTGGAGAAATAGCTCCAGGGACTTATGTTCACCATGGCTAACTGTGGGATTAGGTCTCCTGAGAAGATAGCGGTAGAAAAATCATTCAAATATGGGAGAAAAAGATACAATTGCAACAGACGCAAAACAGGTGACTTTTGTGAGCTTTCAAAAAATTTTAAATGTGTATCTTATCGAAATATGACCTTCTCCCATGCCACAGTTGGTCACAATACTGTACCCTCAGTTTTGACCTAATGCTTCAGATTCTGTGCTTTGAAAGTCATTTTCACATGCACGAAGTTGGTGGTAGTGGAGAAGGTAAATTAGTTTCTCAGACAGTTTTATTAAGACTTGTTACGGAAGTAGAGCTGCAACAAATTGAGCTGAGGATTCAGCTTGTGTGTTGATTTTTCTACCATAATCAATAGTGTTTGGTCTGCTTAATGTTGTACACATTGTAAACTCTGAGTCTTCCTTTTGTAAGAGGAGTACCTTTTGAGAGCCATTTAATTTTAAAGGAAGTTTTTTTTTTTTTTCAAAATTCAATGTGATGTTGTGAAAATATACTTCTCATGGTTATATTATAGTGCTTCCACCTGACAGAATTCCTCCCCTGTGATAACTATAACCACAGGTAAGTTTGTTAGCAGAATCCATAGGGAGTGTTACCAACCAATACTGGGTCACTCCAGACCTGTGCGGGCCCTCAGAACTGAGAGGGAAACAGTAACTGAGGAAAATGAAAGGGATTTCGAACACCAGTCACTAAGCTAGAAACACGTCAAACGTGTTTTTATTCAGATATTTTTGACTGACTTTGTTAACTAAATTCTATCTCATATTGGTGGATGAAGCTGTATTTTTAGAAATCGTCCAGAGAAGATAGCAGAATAGATTATTCTAATTCTTTTTTTTTTTTTTTTTTTGGACGGAGTCTCACTCTGTCGCCCAGGCTGGAGTGCAGTGGCTTGATCTTGGCTCGCTGCAACCTCTGCCCGCCTCCCGGGTTCAAGTGGTTCTCTCGTCTCAGCCTCCCAAGCAGCTGGGATTACAGGTGCCTGCCACCACATCCAGCTAATTTTTGTAGTTTTAGTAAAGACAGGGTTTCACCTTGTTGGCCACACTGGTCTTGAACTCCTGACTTCGTTATCCGCCCACCTCAGCCTCCCAAAGTGCTGGGATTACAGGCATGGGTCACTGCGCCCAGCTGATTATTCTAACTCTTGATCCAGTGTCTTGGGCAACTTCGTATTCCCTCCTAGACATCAGTCAGCGTCTGCTCCTCCTACTTCCCATTTCCTGCTCCTCCCAGCCTCACATAGATTCACATGTGCAGCACCTGCTCATGGCCTGGTGCCAATACTGTTTCACTAATATTGCCTAATTGGTGGACCTTTTTTTTTTTTTTTTTTGATCTTTAAAGAATTACTTGAATTTTCTAACTTTCCAAGCTTTCTTGTTTCATTCCATGTTCTCTCAATATGCATAAACAATACACAGCAGTTAGAATAGAAGAAAGCTCATTTAGGTAATTTTTCTTTAGTTTTGATGAAATATAAAAATACACCTGAGTCAGGCCAGGTGTGTTGGCTCACGCCTATAACCCTAGCACTTTGGGAGGATGAGGCAGGTGGATCACCTAAGATCAGGAGTTCGAGACCAGCCTGGCCAACATGGCAAAACCCCATCTCTACAAAAAAACATAAAAATTAGCCAGGCATGTCCCAGTACTCGGGAGACTGAGGCAGGAGAATCACTTGAACCCAGGAAGTGGAAGGTTGCAGTGAGCCGAGATCATGCCATTGAACTCCAGCCTGGGTGACAGAGCCAGACTCGCTCTCAAAAAATACACATATGTATGGGTCAGCCGTTCCCTCTTTGTTTATTTTATTTTATTTTTTTT